GTGCGATACGCCGGCCGCAGCACGCTGGCCGCGGCGGCCATTGGAGTGTGAACCAATGGCAAAAGGAAGACCTTTCTCTCTGTCTCTCTCTCTCACTGTCCACTCTGCCTGTCAAAAAAAAAAAAAAAAAAAAATCAATTGACCATACACGTATACAGACTTTATTTCTGGACTTTGTATTCAGTTCATTGGTGCATGTATCTGTTTTTATGCCAGTACCTTTCTATTTTGCTTGCTATAGCTTTGTAGATTTTGAAATGCACTATGAACTTTATGTCTGACATTGGTGTCAGGTCTGGCCTTATAAATGAATTTGAAATGAAAGTTTTCCCTCCACTTGAGTTTTCTAGAAGAGTTTGAAAATGATCCATATTAATTCTTCTTTAAATGTATGGTAGAATTTAGCCATTAATCCATACTGTTGTGGGCTCTTCTTTGTTGGGAGACTTTATTACTGGTTCAATTTCCATATTCATTGTTGATGTATTTGGATCGTCTCTCTCTTCATGGCTCAGTCTTGGTTTTTGTCTATTTCTGGGAATTTCTCTGTTAATAACTACTGTCCTCTTGATGAACTGATCTCTTTACCATAATATGATTATCTTCTTCGTCTAGTTTTTTATTTAACATCTATTTTATTTAAATACAGCTGCCTTGATCTCTTGTTCCATTTGCATGGATTATCTTTTTCTGTCCTTTCATTTCAATCCCTTTGTGTTCTTAATGTGATGTGAATGTCTTACAGGTAGCATATAGTCTTGTTTTTAAAGAAACTCTTCTGCTGCTGTGTCTTCCAAATGGGGAATTTAATGTATTTACATTTCAGTGTAAGTGTTGAAGGTAAAGACTGCTGCCATTTTGTTATTTTGTAGATCTTCTGTTCTTTTCTCTTCCTGCCTTCCTTTGTGACTAGATGATTTTCTCTAATGTTCTGCTTTGATGCCTCACTTTTTTACTGTTTGTGTACGTGCATGTGTGTACATACTGTGGGACTTACATAGTTAGAACAGATTTTATAAGCTGATAACAACTTAATCTGGATTGCAGAAGATAACTTTTATTCCATCTCTTCCCAACATTTTGTGTTTCTGATGTTGTGATTTGCATCTTCTCTTGTTGTATATCCTTTAATAAATTATTACAGTTACTGTTTTTAATAATTCTTTTAACCTTCACACTAAAGATAGAAATGATTTACTGAAGTATTCTGATTTGATTATGTATTGACTTTAATCATACACTTCTGCTTTTTTTTTTTTTTTAAGATTTATTTATGTATTTGAAAGGCAGAGCCAGAGGAGAGACAGCAACAATGCTGTGCTGGGCCAGGCCAAAGATGGATGGATCTCTCCCTGTCTCTCCTTTTCTCTAGCTATGCCTTTCAAAGAAATCTTAAAATAAATAAATATTTGGATCTTTTCCCATCTCTAGGTTTTCTGTTATTTCTTTAAGCTTTCTACTCCTTTACTGCTCTTCTTACTTGAAATTCTATAATTCAAATATGTGCTCTTTTGATGTCCTATACATTCTGTAAGAATTTCTTTATTCCTTTTCATCTGACTGTATATATGTGATATATTACATATTATATATATAAAGAATTATTTATTTAGAAGACAGAGTTACAAAGAGAGAGGAGAGAGAGAGATCTTCCATCTGGTGGTTCTCTCTCTAAATGGCATCAACAGTGGAGGCTAAGCCAGGCCAAAACCAGGAGCCAGGAGCTTCATCCAGGTCTCTCATGTGGGTGCAGGGGCCTGAGGACTTGGGCCATCTTCCACTGCTTTCCCAGGTAAATCAGCAGGGAGCTGGATTGGAAGTGGAGCACTCAGAGGTGCTCCAACATAGGATGCCAGCATTGCAGGCAGTGGCTTAACCTGCAGCATCACAACACTGACCCCACCATCCAGGTTTTTATAAGTATGATGTTTGCACAGCAGAATTGCCAAATGAAACATTTCAGACCATGCATCCATTTTTAAGCAATGAATTACTTTATTTTGCATTCTTTTCCAGGCACCTTTTGTGTCTCCCTTTCTTTAGGGTCTGTTCCTGGTGCTTACTTTGTTCTTTAGTAATCCATGTTCTCCGGATTATTCTTGATCCTCATGGCTGTGCACATTTGAAGAAGCCGGGACTTCATCTAGTGTTTGTAGACTGGCTTTGTCTCAGCCATTCACCAGTAAGCCCATCTGTACATTCTAAGCAGGTCATTTGGCATGGCCCCCAAGTGGACTTGGCTGCTATAACCCTCAGGCAGATTGTCCTGGGGCCATGTATCTGTTGGGGCTGAATCCACAGGGGCTGTTTTGGGACTGGGGCAGGCCTGGAGTACGATTCTGCAGAGATGGACCTGGGGACTGGATCCTGGCACTAAGGGGCTAGCTGGGTGCTGGAGTCTCCTGGGGTGGGCCTGGAACCTGCCTCTGCTGGAGCAGATCTGAGCCCTGAGTCTTTTGGGTTGTAGCAATGCAGGGGTATCCTCAAGGTTGGGGCAACAGGCACCATCCCGGCAGTGGACAGGCCTGGAGGTTCTGTCTGTAGGTACTGTGCTCCTGTTGCATACCTGAAGCTTAGGGCTGGGTGAGCCAACATGGCTCTGGGCTGGTCTGGAAACGAGCTGGGCCTGGCACCATAGGGCCTGCTGGCCTGTGGCCACAAAACAAGGCATGAGCCAGAGTCTGACCCTCCCCCTTAAACCAAAGCAAACATAGAACTCCACGGGTAAGCTTTGCTGTTGGTGTGGGGAGAAGGCCGAGACAGGCCGCCATTCAGTGGCTGGGACCTAACTACAAGCAGGCTTCCATATCCAAGGAAGCTGTGAAGGCTGTGGGTAGCTGTGTCAGACCATTTTCTGTTGGATCTCTTGTCAAGAAAAGGTTTATTTAGCTCAGGGTTTTAGAGATTCCAAGAACATGGTGTCAGTGACATGGCAGGGACATCAAATGATGAGACAGAAAAAGCTTGCTTGCTTGGGTTTTTCTTCCTCTTATTTGAGACATAGTTCTCTCCTATCCACTGGTTCACTCCCCAGATGCCTGCAATAGGACTGAGCTGGGCTGAAGCCAGATGCCAGGAGCTCATTCCAGATCTCCCAACATGGTTGCCAGGAACCTAAGCACTTGAGTCATCACTACTGAGCCCCGTGGAATCAGGAACTGGTGCTAGGGATTGAACTGAAGCACTCTCATATGGGACATGGGTATTCGAAGCAGTGTCTTGACCACTAGACCAAACACTAGCCCCTGTCCTCTTTTTTTCATAAAACTATGAATGCAGTCATGGGGGTACCAACGGCATGACCTCATCAAATCCTAATTACCTCCCAAAGGCCCCACCTCCATCTGCCTTCAGGGATCCTGCTTCCATTTTAGAGGGGCAAACAACCAGGCCATAGCAATAGCTAAACTCTATTTTCCCTAGTGTTCGCTGCATGGTAAGTGATGCCTGGGAATAGAGTTCACGGGCAAGATTCTTTATCCACCTTCCCCAGCACTGACAGTAGTGTGTTCAGTGCTGGGGAAGGTGTGATAATGTGGAGAGTTCTATACTGGTAAGGCTGATATTTGGTACTCTTTTCAAAGGTCAGCTGGCACAATATAATAAGGGCTTTTAAAATGTCCATTCCCCTTGGTCTAGTTTTTATAGTTATAGAAATCTCTTCTATTCAGCTATATTAACTGCCATATTACTTATGAATGAGCCTGTCTTTACAGAAGAGGAAGGCAAAGCAGGTCCATTAAATAGCTGTGTGCTGGGATATTTTGTAGCCTATTTTCAAATGCCTAATGACATGGAAAAATGCTCATGATATAATGGTGAATGATACAAGCCATGATAAAACATTTTATATACAACAGGAATTCTTTAGAAAGAGGGAAAAAGGAAGCGTGGAGAAAAAAGCCAGAAGTAAATACAACGAATTATCATCAGTGTTAGCATTCTGAGTAATGTGTTTTCTGCTTTAAACTTGTCTGTTTGACTTTATACTTCAAAAGAAACAGTAAATATAAAAATCTCTACACCCTATACTGCAGCAGAAACGACCGCTATTTTTCATAATTTATAGGCGAAAAGTGGTTTACGGCAGGATTGAACCGGCCAGTTACCATCATGTATGAATGGATTTGAATTCTCCAGCTTTCACACTGTTCCGTGCATGGCTGCCACAGCCAGCACTGGCATATGAGCTCCAGCCCAGCCCATCTGTTGCTTAGGCCTGCTGGGCTGACACAGATTCATTTCATTTCATTCCTTAATTTGGCAACATTTTCCCTTTTCTCATTATCATTGCTGGAATTCAGTGCCAGCGTTACTCACTTTGTTTACCAGTTTGTTATTTTCTTTTGTTCCATTTTGTGAAGACCAAGAAGCCAACAATGGGAATTCTGTCTTCTGAAGATGGAGTGCTTGTCCTTTGGGACCTTGGGCACCTCTTGCTACAGTGCCGTCTGTTTCTGACGCTTAGAAACGATTGCAGTTGTTTTGATAAGTAGAAGGCTTCTTGGTATAATCTGGTGTGATTGTAAAAGAGCTTTGTTGGTTTCCTGCTCCCCCCCACCACCAGCAGCCCCTCCTCCTCCCATGAAGACCTGGAAAGGGTTTCAAATAGAAATTACAAACATTAGCCTTGAGCTGAGCTCTCTCCAGCTGGTATTTGGTGGATATTTTTTTTTTTTTTGTAAACTGAGGACTCCTGTTTAATCTTCATCAGTATTGCAGAAGCACGTGGTGTGAGACTTAACTCTGCTCCAAGCACTCTATACTTAAGGAGGGATTTTCATCTGAATTGGTTTGTATTTCACAGAGCACTGGGATAGTCAGCCAGATTGCTAAGAATTTGCTCAAGTGAAACTTTACAACTATTAGAATCATCCAAGAGGTTTCTGGAATGGATTTGTTAGCAGAGGATGACTGCTGTCTGAAAATATTTTTTGAGCCAATACTTTTTTTTGAAGAGACATTTTCTGTGTCAGACTCTGTGCTGCTTTCCTCTCTAGGTTACCCTGAAGAGACCTACCCGGTTTATGACCTCTCACATTCTATCAAGCGTAGGCAAGAAACTATCCTGGTGGATTACCCTGACCCACAAGAGCCCTCTGCTGAAGAAATAGCCGAAGGAATGGGAGGATCAGATCACTCGGGCTGGGAAAGCGTGCCTGCCAACCTCCGAGCCCAGGAAGGTAATTCTGCTGCCTCGTGTGACCCACAGCCAGAACCCTGCTCCTGCCATTTTCATGAAGAGGATCCTGCTGTCTTGGCAGAGAATGCTGGATTCAACACAGATGGCTACAGTGAGCAAGAGGAAGCCCCCAAGGAAGAGTGGCCCCCGAACTTCAGAGCCGAGTGGTTGGCTGTCGGTGCTGACAGAGCGTATGCAAGTGGCATGTTGAGGAAGCGTAGCCCCCAGGGTTTTGAGTGACACTTGTCTGTGAGGTAGCTATTCCCCTAGTCCCACAGTGACCTTTCTCTCTTCTCTGGTCGCATCCTTGGCCCGTCCCCTTCTTTCTGTGCACTCAACTGTCATAGCTATCAGATCTTCCATGGATATCATGTGTCCTTCCTGGTGCTCACACATGTCGCCTTGTGCAGACATTAGTGTGGACACAGGGACAGCTTTTTCACTCCTCTTCCTGCTTTTCCCAGTCAGAGAAGTTGAACCACTGAGTGACTCTATTTGGTCTGTCGTGATTACAGATGGGACCTGTCGGGGCAAAGGCCTGACTCTTCCTCTAGGGGTAGCAGATGGTTTACCCATGAACAAACATCAGCTTAGATGATGGTGACTTAAGTCTGCAAGAGTGAAGATGTCAGACTCCAAGCTGCCTTGAGCAGGTTAGTGGTCCCCTGGGGAGATGAGAATATTTTGTTGGTGGGAATGCTTACCCAGAGCAGGGTAAGCCCCTGCTGTCTGAGCTGAAGTCCCTCCCTGCAGCCCTAATCCCTCATCTGACCACCCCCCCGACTTGTTTCCAGAGTGGCAGGAGCCACCCACTGACTTGACCGACAGTGAGCCTAAAGCCTGTTTGGCTAGGCTGTTGCCTGGATCTCTAGCTCCCTTTACCCTTGGTCTGCTTAACAGAACTGCTAATCCCTAAAGCACCTTTACACCTCGTTACACCAAGGGAAGCTTTAGATTATGTCAGTCCCTGCCCTGTGGAGCTGAGATTTGATGCTGCACGGAGGACCCATGCTTGGCAATGCCAAGGAGCCAGCCACAGGGGTGAGAACTCGAGTACCTGTGGACAGTCCTTGCCTAGAAACTGCTTCTGGTGTTGTGTTCTTTGGGAGACCGAATTTAAAGAGAAGTGAGGCCTGAGCTCGTCCTCAAGCGCCACCTACCAGGAAAGCTGTGCCGTGCGCTGCAGAGCGCCTGTGGAGCAGCGCCCCAGGAGGCGGCTTTTGTGAAGCTGGGCAGAGTGGAAGTAGATTGAGAGCTGAGATGAGACGATCCTGGCCAAGCTGAAGGCATGTTCCCAAGGACGTCTCAGTTGGGGGATGTGCAGGACTCGAATAGTAGCAAATTTTGCAAAGGTAGATAAGCTTTTAGAGCTCCACTGTGCCTGGCAGAAGATGCCAGGAAAACAGATCACACACACAAGCACACAGAGTGCTGTCCGAGGTACTCTGTCCGCTCGCTTGGCAGTCCTGACCCACAGAGAAAAACCCCTGAAGCCCACTGCACCGCGTTCCTGGGTAGAACGCTGGACTTGTGTTGAAGAGTGCTGTTTAACACGCACCGAGGATGTATCCGAGGGAACACCCAAGGTAACAAATCATCTAGGTGCTCTTCACTGTCTGAGTTACGCAGGCAGACAAAAATGGCTCATGATCTATTTGCCCTTCTACTTACAGAATCTTGGGTCAGCTCCTGCAGCTTGCTGAGCTTTGGCTTCCTCAGCTATCAAGGAGAGTAAGTCTAGGTCTTAGAGAGTAAATGAAGTCATCAGTAGACATAAACCAGCACCGGTTCCAGCTGCAGCTCCTACATGATAAGCACTCATTATGTGCGAGCATAAACCATTGTACTATGAATATAGCTGTCCCTGTGATACAGACCCAAAGCCAAGAAATAATTTTTGCCAAAGTACTTCCAAGACACCTGACAGAGGTGGTGGGCAAGGAAGAGAAAGGACATTTTGGGTAGAAACGGTGTTGGAGGAAACATGTGTGGATAGTTGTGACTTGTGATGTGGCTGGAAAGTGAAATGCTGCATAACCAACCCTATTTTGAATGTCAGTCTTTGGGGAAAATTAATTGGCCTATGGAAAAGGTTTGTGCTGAAGTACTGCGCCCTGCATGGGAGCACTCTTTCCGGCCGGTTATGTTATTTTGATTTACCCTTCAGAAAGTCTTTTTCAGAATCACTTTGTCCTTTAGGGATGACAGTGACGTGGATGTTCATTCTACACTGAGCAAAACCACGTGATGGGTTTCTGTTGCAGGGAGTGTGAGCGTGTTCAGTCTCAGAGGGGTGATGCAGCCAGGAGAGCTAGGTTCCTGGTCAGAGCAGGAACACAAGGTTAGCCTCGTGAGCGCCTGCAGCTGAGGTGTGTTTGGTCATTGAAGCCACAGCAGGTGCACAGATGCCAAATAACTTACAGTGCAAAATGGATAAAGAATACTTCGCCAAGACAATAGGGGTAAACCAGGACTACCCTGGATGTGAGGTCACTCTGTCTATGACCGTTTTTCTTCAACCTGATTCCTAAATAAACAAAAAAACTTCTTTCCTTTTTAGACCATCCTGGATATGCTATTTCTCTGCAGAGTCCACAGGAGGTAGGCCCTGGTTCAGATAGGAAATGTTCTTGGTCACATCAAAGCTACTTATTCACCATCCTCTTGAATTCCTGTATACCAGAGCAAAATGTGGCCCTACCGCTGAAGAAGAGTAAGAAATACTATGAATGGCATGATCTTGCCTTGACCATTAACCTTTCTAAAGTATCACTGGCTTGGGCCCTGTATATAGGCACTGCACAAAGTTCACCAAACAATGAAATTAAAGGTAAATTTTAGAGCCCGAAGTTTTATTTCATGAATAGTTTTTCCATAAAAAGTACATGTAAAATGTATATCCTGAAAAAAGCTGATTTCAAACTTTCTTTGGTACCAAAACAAACTTACCATTTATCTCGTATCTTCAGGCCCCTTCTAGCTCTATGGGCTCCCAGGGGAGATGTAGGAAGCACCAGCCCTTCCTAGCCTGGGTGTGATCCTTAAACTTGAAAGACACAGCCAGAGTGGGGACAGGGTTTACTCACATGCCATTGGTTCTAAATGGGCTTTTCTCCTTTTATGAGAAGAGAAACCAGCAGAGTTGAAACAATTCAAGTTTAATTTGTTGATATGTCTGTACTTAGACAAACACTAACTTCAACAACATACATAATGTCAACGTGGGAAAATACCAAGTTTGTCATTGCACATACCAATAAGTACATTTGTTCCAGATTACCAAAGAGTTTATTCAAAAAGTCACTTAATAAAAGCACAGTTTTGCAAGTTTGTCTAAAACTCCAGATAATTTTGAACAAAAATAAAATGTCTGACCACTCCAAAATAGGAAAAGACGATCTTGTGCAAATAGACATACATGTTCTAGGCATTATGAAAACTGGCTAAATGTGTTCCCAGCAAGAGCTATGTCACCTATCCTGACCACGTCCCCTCTGTCACCAAATGCAGGACTAAAAGAGACCAGAGTTGGGCTTCCCTTTCTAGGTCCTCTGACACAGCCCTCCAGGAAGCTGGGTCTCAGCCTCATCTCCAGCTCCACCTGGACCTTGACTGGGGGGAGAAGGAAGGAAGGGTCGTGTGATGTCCATTCTTAGGAAAGAAAAAGGCACAGTGATGAGCTAGAAAAGGTAGCAACAAAAGCGAGAATTAACTTTGATCCAGCCTGAATCCCCAGTCCAGCAGCTTCCATTATGCAGTTAAAGAATTAAGACCTAGAGTGAGAGAACTCTGTAGTGGTGCCTCCCTCTCCCCTTGGAGATTTTAAAACCTGCATACTGGACGTCCTGAAGGAACTCCATCAGGATGCAGCCATGGAAGCACACCTGCCACACACAGGAGCTAGAGGGAAGGCCAGTGTTAGTGCCCTCAGGGAAAACCACATCCCGCAAGGGGCTGGTTTGTGCTTGCCTAACAGCGCCCAGAGGCGGAGGGACCTTTTCCTGTGAAAAGCACCCCTGCTGCTTGTTAGAACTACCTCTAAAGAGATGCAAAGTGTAGTTAAATGAAAACAACTTCTGCTTTTAGCTTGTTGCCCTACTTGTCAGGGAAGGGAGCAGGCTCCAAGGTTCTCTTCCAGTGTCTGACTCCCATGACCTGGCCTCCCACACCTGTACACCTGTCCTTACCTGTTTCCGCTGCACTAGTGTTGTGACTGTTAAGGCACACTCACTAGCGTTCTGTTTAAATTCACCCAAGAGCTTGCATGTGACACTCAGACTGGAAAGCTGACCACTCCCCAGGAGAAGAGCTGCTTATTTCCACGGTATACTCGCTGCTGGAGCATGAAATGAATGGGGAAAGCCCGCCGGTGACCATGACTACTCCTTCCTGTCCTGCTCGTCCTTAGGAACATGCTCCTAGTAAGAACTTCAGTTGATGGTTACAGATTGCCCTTTTCCCTAGACAGACACACGCAGACGGACACACACACGGACACAGAGCACCTTGGAGCCAAAAGGAAAGAAAAGCTAGACTTAGAGAACAGGTGAGGAAGAGAACGTCACCGCTCTGCAGGGGAACTTTTTGGGGCAGAGGGTGTAAAGTTTTGGGGTGTGGTCCTAGGGACTCGCATCCCTTCCTCCACTCCAGGACTCTGTGAAGGGGAAGGAACTCTCACCACGGTCTGAGAGGCTGAAGCCAGGTGGGCTCTAGGGCCAGTGATCAAGGAAAGGCAGCATCACCAGGGGTGGAGGCTGATGAGCAGGGCAGGGGCTCAACTGCGCTTGCTTGGCCCTCAGCGCCCAAGGCTCTTCTACTCTTCCATGTGCTAACGGAGAAAAGAAAGGCCAAGAACTTTCCATTGTGCTTCGGATTTTTCTATCTGCCGTCAGGACCTCCTCTCACTACAGTCAGCCTGTTCTGCCTTACAACTGTAGCTGCAGAAAACAGTGGGAGAAGACACTGCGATCAGCTCACATGTAGGCAAGTCCCTGGTACCACAGTGCTGCGTTAGAAAATGACCAGCCCCAGCCCAGAAAAGCGTTAGTTCCAACAGAGGCTAGCTCCTTCGAGGGACCTGGCAGAGAAACACGCGTGGCTGAGGTGTAAACAGGCATGCCTTGCTTGAAGCCTTCAACATAGGAAAATCTAGATTACAAAGACTAATCACCTGTAGAGCCTGAATATTTTCAGTGTCACCAAAAATATGAATTTCTCCTTATCCTTTTTACACATATCTACTCCAAAGTATAACCCCTGCTTGCTTCCTGTCTCTGCCAGGGAAGATGTCAGGTGAGCAAGCGTTTAGAGGGTAGTGCCATCCAAGGAGAAGGGAGCAGCCCAGGACGCTCGTTTATCTGTCACACTTAGGGCCATCTGACTGACAGGGCCCTGCTGTGCGGCGTTCCTCTACTCTGACATTGCTAAGACTCTGGAATCAGGGTTAAGGGCATGCAGAAAGGACCCCAGGAGGCCAGAGAGCTGGAGATCAGCAGTTTCTTAGGGCATGGTGGGAACACAGAAGGGAACTCTACCAGAGTACCCAGCTCGGCGACCCAGGGCCCGGCTGTGTTCTCAGTGATTCAGCTAGAGGCAACGTGAGTGTACCAGTTGATCCCCGCGGGCCTGCCACTTCTGATCTCTTGTAGTTCCAGTAATTCCCTACTCCCCCCACCTCCCGAGAGGAACCACACCCTGAAGCCCTCTCCTAGCATGACTTAGCTGGGTGTCTGAAGACAGAGATGCTGCCCGGAGCACACCAGGGCTTGGCAGTGGTGCTCTGCCCTCAGGAGCCCTAGGCAGGCCCACAGTGGGACTGGGCCTCCAGGGGCTGTACCGCAGAGCCTGTTCATTCACCTCCTGCATCTGGGCCTTGAGAGCCGACTTCTCACTGCCTCTGAGCACAGAGCCAACCTGGAGAAATCACAACAGCTCTACCAACTGCAGCCTACCAACTGCAGGTAGCCAGGTAGCCAGGTCCCTGTAATCTTGGCAAGAGACTGCCAACTCCCTATCCCCACCACCCCTCAGGCCTGCCTGGGGCCTTATGAGGTGGGACGGCTTTCTGCAGACCAGGCCTCTTTGCCAAGTAAGGCTGCTATGCCCTCCATCTACACATACGCACTCAGGTGTGCCCTACCTTGCTGTAGGCTGTCTCCAGGCTGAGCAGATGGCTGGGCCCTGCATTGTGCTTCCTCTCCCTCTACACCTCCTCGGGCCTTCCCAGATGAAGAGGTTGCCCAGCTTGGCAAACATGACTGCAGCAGGATACTAACCCGAGAATAAGGGTGTGTGTTGATCCTGGGGCGCAGAATTACCCTCGTCTCAACACTCCCTACTGCTCCACTGCCTTGGTCACAGAGGCAGAGGGGCTGGCTCCCGGCTGGCCAGGTCAGGACGCCCACTGTGGGCCACAGCTTCATCTGGCAGAAGGCCTATGTACAGAAGATAGGCAGGCTGCACTCCAGGCTGGGCAACCCCAAGGAGCTTGAGGCAGCCTCTACTCGCAGGCCAGCTTGCTGTCAAAGCTGGACAGGGCAATGGCAAAGGCCTGCAGTGCACACAGCGGGTAGTTGTAATCCATGGTGAACACATCCTCTGCTACCCGGCCAAACTGCATCACGATGTAGTCCGCTGAGGCCAGGCACAAGCATGGACAGAGAGAGAGAAAGGAGAGACGGGTGTGATGGAGGGACAGGGAAGGCCAGACACCCAACCCCAAGCAGGAAGGAAAAGGTAGAAGCCAGGATGCCCAGAGGAGAAAGAGGCACACAAACACCAGGACACAGGAGAGGAGAAATAGCCCATTTAAAAAGTGTTCCCCGTCCCCACCCCAAGACTGCTGATTACACAGAACCTAGGACCAGGGCTCCACAGGTTCTCCCAGGGCCTCCCAGTTCATTATACAAAGTTCTTTACATCTCATCTCAGCTGTGTAGCCCACACCGTTACAATGTGGGCTGTATGACCAGGACTGGGTGAGCCGAGATCTGGATATCTTAGGGCCAGCAGGAGTACTCACGGTCATTGCCATGGATGATCTGGAAGTTCTTCACAGAGGCCTGGGTGACACGCCCGTGGAAGTTGAGTACGTAGGACTGGGTGTCGTCGTTCCAGACAGGGGTCTTGTTTTGCAGCTCGATGATACTCTCCGTGTTCTTATTCTGCCAGCGTGCTAGCAGGGTCTCGTGCTCCTAGGACAGTAGCCTCACCTGAGCCAGTCCAGGCCTTGAGACTGTGACCACCCCCCAAGCGGGATCCATCCCAAGAACGGGGGCTCTTAGATTTTCCTGCCCCCCCCCCCACGCACACACACCAGCTGCATCCTGCCCCACTGGCCAGTAGGCTGGGGAAGAGGGAGGGTGGGACAGAAACTCACATTCCGGGGGCGAATAGAGACTCGTTCGTGAACCATATTCATGCCAGGGACAATCACGCTCATCTTCCGAGGTCCCTTAAAGCCCAAGACGTTTGTCTCCTGGGAGACAGGGAGAGAGAACTCAGCAGCGGCCACCTGACGCAGGGACTTACCTACCGGAGTGCAGGGTGGGAAGACAGGAGCAGCTGTTTCAACGCCTGCACACGGCAGTCTCAGACCAGTCTGCCAGAACGAGCTCCTCGAAAGCACCCCTGCTTCTCGGTGTCGACACCCCACTTCTCACCCAATAGCGAGTTCTTCCAGTAATACGTGAACTCCCCTGCTTTTCACACCATCATCTCACCCCAGCTGTTAACTGGACTCTCTGGTTCTGCCCCTCCTCCTCCGTTCTCAGCAGCAATGAAGACACCCCGCGTTCCCGAGCTCGCTCCGGGCAGAGGCTGGCTTCCCTGGCAAGGCACTACAGCCCAGCATTCAGGACTGTACCGTCACTGTCCCCCAGACACACACATGGCTGCCTCCCACCTCCTTGTGAGCCCTCAGTGAGGCCCTGCAGCCACCCTTGACACCTCATACCCTGTTTTTCCTTCTTAAGCAGGGGTCAGGAACTTATTCCACTTGAACTCTTGTTTTACACCTTGCTTCCCCACCACTTGGTTTTCAGTTCTGTAAGATATAAATTTATCTACCTTCTCTGTTGCATTCTCAGTGCCTCAAATAATAGGAACATAGTTGGGGGCTCAGTACTTCTTGAAGATTCAGGCTGCCTTCCCACAAGTGGCCAGCAGGTGGCACCACGGCACCGTACAAGAATTGTATCCTACTACCTGTGCTCCAGGAATGGGTGTCCCTTCAGCCTTCTAAAACTGAAGCAAAGGGGGTTCAGAGAAGTAGAAATCCCTGGTATTTATATCCCAGTTTGTTCATTTATGAGCTTGGTGACGTCAACAATAAACCTCTAAGCTTAAGTTTCCTCATTTAAAAAAGACAAAACAAAAACTACCCCTCATGGCAAGCATGCAGGGCACGGACAAGCACCCAGGCCTCCTGCTGCTGCTTGGCCATACAAAGCCCAGGCAGTCAACTGTGACGGGAGCCCTGAGCAGGACAAGGAAAGAGCCCCTTCCCCAGGCAAGAATTGGCCCCTGGGTCAGGTAACAAGTGCTGGACTTCATGGCTAACTTGCAGACTAGGAGCTAGGACTCACGTAGCACACAGCTGCCAGCTCCTGCCGCAAGGCTCCGCTTTCCAAAGTAGAGGATGATGCCTTCTGAGGGTTGACCCCATTGTCATAAACGGTGAACTTGGTGCCCATCAGGTTGGACCTGAAGGAAAGGAACAGTAAAGGGGCATGTGCCTCTGCCCAAGACAGGAACAGCTCATTCAGTGTCCTAGGAGAAGCCTGCAAAGCATTTTGGGCTGGGCCAGGGCCAACCCAGGAGCCCCAGTACTCACTGAACCCACACCACTGAAGGCACTGGAGCACAGAAGGCCCGAAAGTGCTCTGAACAGACCCAGAGGGCACTCAGCAAGGAGGTACATCGTGCAGTTTCCTTGGAGGAACGGGTGTTGCCCTCAGGGGAGAGGTAGCCCAGATGGCCTCTGGTGAGACTGCAGAGGGGACTTGGCACCCTGTGGACTGAACAATAGGCCTGCGCAGGTCCTGGTCCAGCTCCAGCCACCTACCTCCCATCTCTGCATTCCCCAGATCTGGTACTCTGTGCCCAGTAAACCCTATGTCCCCTTGAGAACCAGTTCAGAGCCTTCCTGCCTCCTCCCAAGGGTTCTCTTAGTCCTGGGCCTTGGCATGGCCCCTGAGGGCCTGTGTCAGGGACACCCTGGGTTTGAGCCCTCTCTCTTGGGCCTGCACCCACCTGCCTGGAAGCAGCTTAGTCCAAATACGGCTCCAGGCTGTGCAGGGAGCTGGGCCTGGAGTGGACCCAACCCTGGCGGAGACAGGAGGGCTGGTGGATGCCCCGCCCCACCCTCCCTCCCTGGCCTGCTTCCTGGGGGAGCGCTGGTACCGCAGTTTCCCGATGTAGCTGTCCCCTCCTCGAGACAAGTCTGTTGGGTCCACAGAGATGAGGTAATTGGAAGTTTTACTCTTCTTCCTCTTCCTTCCCGCCAGGAGGAACACCTTGGGGAGGAGCAATGCCATGTTCCAGGCCCAGCCTGTGGTCTGTACACAGTCACGGGCACCGGACACATACATGCATGCAAGGGACTCCCTTGCTTCAGCACTGGCACTCAGAGAGCTCTGCACTGGCCAGGCACGGAGGCTTTTGTTTCTCTGGGGAACTGAGAGTCAGTGTTGGATTTGAAGCTTTCCATCACATTGCAGTCCCGAGGCCCACGGTCCCTCCTGTTGACCATGCCGGCCAGGGCAGCCTCACCTTCTTCCCATCCTCGCGGTCCAGGTGCAGGAAGTAGGTGGGGTACATGCCCCGATCCATCCCCTTCTTATCCCGTGTGATGCGGCATTTGATGGTGATGCCCTGTGGGGCTGGTCTCAGAGCAAACTCCTCTAGATCCTGGACCTCAACATCCACAGGTGGCTCTGGGGCTGTTGGGCTGGGGGCTGAGGCTGCCTCCTAGGGAGAGAGGGAGTAGGAGCCTGGGCCCCAGGGGCCCTAAGGAGCCACAGCTGGTGGTCTTGGGCCCAAGCCTGCCTCTTGATGCGGTAGTAGTGGGAGATGGGACAGGATACCTGAGGTCACGAGCCAGTTTCTCAGGCCTACCCTCCTCCAGCCCCTGGCAGTGGAGAAGTCGGGGGCAGGTGCTGAGGCCATCCTGTCCTGCTCACTGCACCCTGCAGCCCAGGCCTCGCTGAAGACATCAGGAGGCAAGGTGGAAGGACACAAGAGCCCCGCCGGATCCCACCCAGACGAGCCATCCTCAGAGCTGCCACCTGGCCTCTGCAGTGGCCAGCACACCTCACTCACCCTGACAGACTTCCTGCTCGTCGCAGAGCTGGGGCGGGTGTTGCTGTTGAGCTGGGAGGAACTGGAGCTGTTCTCATCCTCATCTTCCTCTTCCTCATCAAAGCTCATGCTGCTGGAGATGCCTGGGCCCAGCAGAGGAACCAAAAGGGATGAGCGAGGAGTTGTGCACCCCTGGCACGTCTGTGGTCACATGGACTCGGGACACACATGTGCCCACAGACACAGGGACACTCAATTCTGGTGCACACATGAGCTGGGCTGGTCTCGATTCTCAGGTCACGCCCTTGCCACCAGCTCAGTCCCTGCATCGGGCATGCTCTCTCAACAGTCACAATGCCCTGTGTCTCAGGTTTCAAGGCCCGCACTGAGCTGACCCTGCACCAGGCACCTTTATTGCTGACCTTGGACTTACTAGAGGCCTCGGGCAGAGAAGCAGCTGCCAGGGCCTGCTGACTCCCCCCTCCCCTCAGCAGGGAGCACCAGCCCCACACTCAGCAGTGTCGGTGGCCCTTTCTGCAGGAGGCTACCCTTCATCGTCGTCCTCCACACATCCTCCCACAGGCAACACTGCCAGGCTGCACTCCTGTGTACTGACTCCAAGGACTCCCTAGGGCAGGGCTACGTTAGGGCAACAGGTTTGCAGGGAGATTCAGCCCTGCTCTCCTCCCCCAGCTCAGCAGAGGGGTCACCTACACAGAAGCAGCTTTCTCTAAGGAACACAAGAAAAGAAACTGACCCCCAACCTGGGCCTTCCCTGGGGCAGGCGTTGGGAATGGGAGAGACGGGCACGGGCTGGGGCCGGTTAGCCTGGGCCAGGGTTCCTTCCCTTAACCTGGCCTATCTTCGGGAGGGAGTTCCTGCCCTGAAGTTTCTTGTTCGTCTCCAAGGATGTCCAGGGAGGGGCTGGACAAGGGGCACCTGAGAACCCCAGGCTGAGCTTTGGGCCCGCAGTGGGCTCACCCTTCCTCTGCATCGTGGCGCGGAGGTCCTGCCCGCTGGGCCGAGTGCCCCCACCAGCTGCCGTCTCCCCTGTGTCCTGGGCGTGGTCTGACTGGCCCACAGTCAGGATCTGCACAGGGCCTTGGGCCTCCGACTTGTCTTCTGCCAGTGCTGCTGGCCCGCTGGTGCCTGCAGGCCACGGACACTCCTGAGTCACATCTGAGAGGGAGAGGGGCTCCTGGACTCTCCAGCGTCGGTGACAGGGGTGAGGGATGAGTGAGGACACTCTGCAAAACTGACGCGTGAAAAACTAGCAACTGGCAAGCAAGCTCGGAAGGGATGTGGACTTCCTTTCTTCCAGATCTCCACCCCCGCCCATTACTTGTTGAGGGCTGGTTTGAAACTCCCCACGTCCTTAAGGCAGACAGCAGCCACCTACAGCACCAACCACACGGTGGGAGAAGAGATGGGGAACAAGGATCGATGCGGACCACTCCCGGGCACGGCCAGCTCTAGGCTGTCAGTGCTGGTATTCTCTCTCTCACCCACACAGAGGAACTCACACATCATTACAAACACCCCTTGAGAGAGACGGTGCCTGACATTCTCTGGCCGTCCCAAGGGGGCCTCTGGTCCCACCCGTGCCCTTCTGGCTGAGCTGCCACAGCTTCAGGAGGGGGCGCGCGGCCCAGCCTGCCCAGGTGGCAGGCGCTGCATGGCCGAGTTATGCCCGGAGGACTGCAGCTGGCTCCTGAAGCCCACCGGCCTGGACACTCCACCGCCGGACCGCCACGTGGCAGACTGCAAGGCACGGCCCATGAACCATGGTTGAGGAAATGCTCACGGCATCAGCATGTGCAGGCCTAGGCTGGGTGAGATGCTGGAGGGACAGGGCTGGAGGGAGCTCACGCCGAGATGGGGACAGTGGTCCTGGGCCACTGCTCTACAGACTCCACTTCCTGGCTGCGGGGAGCGCCTGCCCCACCCACAGGCCGCTCGGGTACCTCCTGAGGTACAAGAGGTCTGGGAGCCAGCTGAGGGCCAGTGTGTGCTCATTTCCTCCCCCCGCCCCGTGGCGGCTAGACGAGCAGCCGGCTGGGGTTGGGCGAGCTAACCTTTGTGCTTTCCCTTCTTCTCCTTCTTGGCGGCCCCACCCTGTGTCCCGGCCATGGCGGCTGCCTTGGTTCTCTTGGCTGAGGCTGGTGCTGGTGGGCGGGTGGCTCCCAGCTGCACACTGGCAAGGGAGTCGGCCTCTTGCACTGCTCAGGAGAGAACCAGAGAGACAGAAAGGGGTGCTGAGTGAGAGCAGGGCTCCCACTCAGACACTCCCCACTCTCCCACCAGGCCCCAGGCAGGCCCTGCCAGAAGGAGACAGCACCAAGCCCAGTGTGGTCAAGAACAGCAGGGCCAGAAGCCCCATGAGCCACGAAGCAGAGGCTGGGCAGGCAGTGCCTGTGCGAGCGTAGGTCAGGAAGATGGTGGCAGGAGACAGCACAGGCTCCATCATCAGGGAGACAACCAGGGCCAGCACCCCAGGGGGCTCTCACAGGGAGAACCATTCAGGAGGGGGGAGCCCCACCAGCAGCGAGTGCTCAGGGTTCCCCCACAGCACACAGCCTGACTCACCACCCTGAGGGAGTTTGATTGTTCAGGAGACGGAGGCCAACGTCCAGCACACTGGGCTCCTCCGCCCTCCTTGCCCTGTCCCCACGGGAGCACCTGCACTTCCGGCCACACTAGGCTCTCCAGAGCCTGGCACTACTCCTGCAGCCCCTCCTGCCACAGGGCCCTTGCTGTGGCTGTTCCCATGGGCTGAGGAATGCTCGTCTCCTCAGGGACGCCTCCCAGCCTGGTCAGGGCAGGTGCCGTCTCCCACTCCTGGAACACTGTGGGGACCACCTGTCTCCCCCTCCCCATCTTGACCGTGAGGTCCATAAAGGCAGAGGCAGAGCCTGACACACAGCAGGCCCTGATCAACACTTGGGGGAGGAGCCAACACGCACAGGCACAGCCCACAGGTCCAAAGCCTCAGCCAGGCAGGACCGACCACCAGTTCTGCATGTCTTGCCTTTGCATCATTGTGGACTGTGTTCCCTGTACCTAACACCAAGAGCCACCAGAGGGCAGAGCAGGAGACAGCGAACGCTGATGAGGAAGCCATCTTGGAAACCCCAGTCCCCAGGCTGCCAACCAGGTGTGCAGCAGCCTCCTCTGGGGCTGGACAAAGTGTGGCCCCAGGCAGCAGGACTCTCAGACCCCAAATGTCACCTGTAGGGACCTGGTCTGGAATGTCATCAGGGAACCACAATCAATCGGTTGATTACGGACTCTGGCATATACCCAGACTGAGGCTCCTTCCACTTGCAAAGCCCTGAGACAGAGGTTTGCTCCATTCATAGTGGCAGGTGTTTGCCAGAGAGGGTGACCGAGTTGCCTACAGTCCCAGGTGAGCAGGAACCTGGACGGGCGGGACCAGGAACGCTGTCCTTGGCCTCCAGTTGTGCACTCCACCCAGAAGTCCTGCCACTCTCACTGTGCACGCTCCGCAGGCCTGGTTTCTCCAAGCACTCAGCTGGTGCTCATGAAACACCTGCCCAAATGGCTGCCCGCCAGTGATGTCTCAAGATGTTGGCCTCTGGTGCAAGGCGGCAGGGCCCCGAGTCCTGGGGGCACAGACTTATTGCACAGGCAGCCTTGACTGCTCAGGTCCCAGAGCTGGCACGGCCGGGGCTCGCACCCACACGGCAGCAGAATGGTGGCTGCCTTCCTTGCAGGGCACTGCTGTTACCCCAGGAACTGGGTGGACGAGGCAGCCACCAGGAAAGGGCGGGACCAGTACAAACTCTGAGAGGCCCAGCTGGGGCTGCTGCTCCAAGACGGTGGGGCAGAGGCCTTTGGCCGGGCTCCTGCAGGCCTCTCATGGGGACGTTCTAGTATGGCCCAGGGTACAGGTCACCCCAAGGGAACTTCTCAGCAGGGACGCAGCCTAATTGGGTAGGGGAAGGAGAGCGTTCAGTGTGACAGGCCTGGGTTTGAAGCCCAGCCCCATGCCCACCAACAGCATGACCACGAGCAAGTGGTCCAACTCCCCTGAGGCCAGGTCCTCCCCAGTCGTGTGGGGATAATGAATTCCATAGGATCAGTGAGATGACGCGGGCGAAGCCCCTCAGCAGTGTGCCGGCCCCGGCACCGCCCACAGGCACATGTGAGTGCTGCACAGGGAGTGGGCTTCCTCGAAGGTTCTGGGTGCACACTGGCACCAGGCAGGAAAGACAGCTGCTGCCCTCTGAGGCACGGGCAAGGGGGCCCCACAAGCTGAAGGCTGGGCCAGCAGAACACAGAGAAAACCTGGCACCCTTGGGGCACAGGGTGGGGCCAGTGGTCAGCTGCAAAAGGTTGGCCCTGGGGTGAGGCCACAACCAGCCATGATGTAGTCAAGGCTCCAGGTGGTCATGAAGCCACAGGAGGGGAACAGGACGATGCCTGGGGGTCTTCCTAACTGCCTAGATCACTGCCTCCAGCAGGGGGCAGTGGTGACGGAGGCCAAGTCTCTGACGCTCCAAGACTAACCCTGGGTCTAGGTGACCTGGGTTACTCAAAGCAGGAGGGAAGACACTCAGCTCAGGGATGCGACAAAGCTATGGATGAGCTGAGAAGAATCGTCCTCACTCCCCCTTCCCTGAGTAGGGCTGTGCTGAGATCTGGCTGTACAAGGATGGCAGCTGCCCATCGCCACAGCTCAGAGGGGGTTAAGCCTTCACCTGCAATGCTAGCATCCCTTAAGGACACTGGTTCAAGTCCCAGCTGCTCCACTTGCAATCCAGCTCCCTGCTAATGGCCTGGGAAAGTGGCAGAAGATGTCCTAAGTGCTTGGGCCCTTGCACCCATGGGGGAGATCCAGAAGAAGCTCCTGGCTCCTGGCTTTGGTCTGCCCCAAGTCCAGTCATTTGGGGAGAGAACCAGTGGATGGTTGATCTTACTCTAACTCTTTCAAATAACCAAATAAATCTTAAAAAAAAAAAAAAAAAGGCAACGGAAGGGGCCCTCATGGCAGAAGCGGGGCAGACCACAGGTAGAAGGGGAAGTCTGTCCCAGGCAACACTACTAGTGTGGGGCAGGGGCTGAGAGGCGGCTTCCCCTCCTGCGCTCGGGGAAGTGCTCCCAAGGAGAAAGCAGCCCTCTCAACTCCTGTACCCAGGGGTTTTGGCTTCTTGGACCCAGGACCTGACCCAGGAGGCGACAGCCAGAGCACACAGTCCTGCTGACCCTGGACGCCCCTGGCAGGATAAGCCCCTCCCCACCTGGGCCAGCAGCAAGTCCCTGGGGGGCTGCAGGAGTACCTTGGTAGCTGGTGCTGCCGCTGCTGCTGAGGTAGGACTCCACCAGGGGGGCTTGCTCCTCCGACTGCCGGGCCCGCCGGCTCCGGGGCCTCCCATCCGCGTTGGCCTGCACCATCAGGGGCTCCTGGCGCTTCTTCTTCTGTTTCTGCTCCAGCAGGGCCCTCTACAGAGGCAGGGACAGGCACGGGGTGGGCTTGCCCACCACCTCTGCCAGGAGGGATGGGTGCCCAGAGCAGGGCCTGGGAGCCTTACAGGCTGGGCGCTCGAGATCATGCCAGGACCCACAGCCCACCCTAAGCCAAGGCCCCACCGTCCTAGGTGCTCTGAGACTAAGGGTCCAAGAAGGGCAAAAAAACAAAAAAAACACAGCCCAGGCCGCTGCCTTGGTGGGCTCACAGCACAGACGTCCAGCCTCCCAGCAGTAGTCACCCCGGGCACCTGCCCGGCAGAAGCCCCTGTACTAGGGCAGGGTTAATGCCGAGCAAAGGAGATGGTGCGCCCTCTTCTTCTGGTGTGACAACATTCCCGTCAGGCAGGACTCTTAGGGGACAGGGACAGCACCCCAGCACAGACCCCGTGCTGCACCCGGCCGCAGCCTCACTCACCTGCCGCTCGAGCTTCTGCTGCCGCAGGTTGCTGCCCTCATCATCTAAGACACTGTGGAGGGAGAGCGGGGCGCTCAGGGCTGGCCTGTGTGGTGCCAGGATGGGGCCCAGGGCCCGCCCCCAGCACTTGGGGGTCCTGTAAACCCCACCCCCGCATGGCTCCTGGGGCTCTGTGGGCCCACAAGGTAGAGGGAGGAAGGGTGGAGGCTGCCAGCTGAGACCCAGCTTCAGCAGAAGGGTGTGATCCCCGTTTCTGCCACTTGGGGATCCCGTTAGGATCCCTGGAGCCCAATAGCCTCCCAGCCGTCCTGGCCCCCGTAAGAACAAAACGAGACCCTCCCTCAGGTACCTGAGCAGGTCCAGGCTTTTCAGAGATCCAAGAGAAACCATCCAGCTGCACCAGCCAGAAGCCAGGCCAAGGATGGCTTCCTCCAGCTCCCACAGGGATGGCACCAGCTTTGCCCGCCTTCCCACTAGAGACAGGCAGACCATCTCCTGTCCCTTCAGAGCAAACTCGCGGCACTGCAAGTGGGCAGCACGTGTGAGTTCTACCAGATGCTCACCCTTACACTGGGCAGGGGTGGGAAAGTGAGGCGAAGAAAGCAACCAATCCCCTGGGCAGGGCCAAGGCAGAGTGGATAACACACTGATGCACAGCTCAGCAACAGCCACTAGGCTCTTCCCTGCCCACAGACATGGCACAGGCAGCAGTGGGAACATCAAACCCTTGAGCCCCGCAAGTCTCAGGACAGGTGGCCTCATCTCACCCAGACCAGCCCCACCTCCCAGGAAGGCAGAGCACGAGTAGGGAGCTGGCAATTCAAACCACTCAGCTTTCCTGCTAAAGACAGGTGCTGTGGCATAGCTGGTAAAGTAGCTGTCTGCAATGCCTGCATATCATAAGGGTGCTGGTTCGAGGCCCAGCTGCTCCAATCCAGCTCCCTGCTAATATGCCTGGGAAAGCAGCAGAGAATGGCCCAAGTTCTTGGACCCCTGTACCCATCTGCAAGACCCAGAAGAAGCTCCTGGCTTTGCTTTGGCCCAGCTTAGGCCATTGTGGTCATTTGGGAAGTGAACCAGTGGATGAAGATCTCTCTACCTCTGCCTTTCAAATAAAATAAAATCTGGAGGAAAATGACTGAGCATTAAAACCATTGATGGCACTTGCCACGTTCATGAGACTTGCCCCCAGTTCTAGAAAAGCCAAGGTCAGGACAGCTGCGTGGGGTGAAGACAGAGCTGAGCATCTAAGCGTGGACAGCCCCAGTAGCCCAGCACCATTTCACTGAGCCTGCCATGGACCAGACCTGTGTGGGCACCCACAGGCTTGCCCAAGTGCAGGAGGGCAGGGAGGGGCTGTGAGGAAGCCAGTGTGCCTGAGCATGGGGGCAAACATGGAGACGTGTGTGAAAGGCGGCTGTGCCTTGGGAAGGCGAGAACGCCCAGTGTGAAGGTGGGAAAGATGACAGCCCTCCAGGGACAGGGGTGGGTCGGCAGCTCCCAGCTGGAAGGATCACTGACTCATGTGTCCCGTCAACCATGTGCACATCCGAGGGAGCCGGCCGAGGTGTGGGAGGAAGTATACATCTGCGGACTGCCCACCCCCGGCTCGGCGTCACCTACCCCCCTCCCTGGCCACACCTATTTTTAGCTGACAGCTGTCTAACCTACTTGACCTCTGAGAAGGCCTCTCCTAGAGCCGGGGGGTGCTCTGCGATCTGGAGCGGCTGTGTGCAGGACAGTGGTGCTTACCAAACCTCAGCTGCCAGGAAACGGGAAAACACTGCTCAATAGATGCGTGCCCCGGCCCAGTTTCGCCACAGCTGCCCACCACCTGGGAGAGCATCCTAAGAGCACTGCCAGGCCCAGTTCTCTGAAAATTCGAGCTGGCCGAGATGGAAGCAGGCAGCTTATCCTCACAGGGGCACACTGGGGTGGGACTTCTGGGAAGACTGTGCCAGTATCCGGGTCAGCAAGATGCCGGGAGCCTGGCAGGATCTGCGAGACTGTGGTCTGCGCCGCCTCTATGGCCTCCAGGGACCAGGCAGACACTGCATGCAGTCATCTGTGTGAGCAGGGCACGCGCCTTCGCCAAACCCAGTCAGCTCTCTACAACGGCTCTGGACCCGGGTGCCCAGAAACCCCAGTCGGGTGCTAGCGGCCTGGCCCCAGGATTCCCAGTGTGATCACGACACAGTGCTGGCTTCCCCTGCGCCAGTGGGAAAGGCCATTGCACAGCCTCCCAGGATGTCACAAGCCACTTACGTTTTCAAGATGGCAACGCCAGGAGCCAGGGCAGACCTCCATTGTCCCTGGCAATGGGCTTTGGCTGAGCAGAATGATGGTGGCTATGGGGCTGATGCTAACACATAGAGGCATCTGGAAAGGGGGACCCGTGGCTGAGAGGTGAGGCTTTCTTCAGAAAAGCACCTCCCTGAGCGCAAGGTCACAGGGCCTCACCGCCCAGTGCCCCGGGGTCTATGCTGGGGGGAGGAACGGGGGTCAGCTTTCCATGAAAACACAGCTTCCTCTCTCTGGGCTCTGCCTGTATTCCTTGGTGTGAGGGAGAAGGAGCAGCACTGACAACCAGGTGAGACTACAGGCGACAAGGACTTAACCACCAGTCTCCAGAGCAAGATGATGACAGCAAAGTAATTCCAGAGACCTCTCGTGCCAGACAGGCCTAGAGAGCTGCCCACTCCTCATTCACCAGCACGTCTGAGAGCCCCAAAGAAGCGTGCATGGGAGGGGCGGCAGCAGGGCAGGAGCCACGTGTGCCCGTTGATTAACAGCGTGCCTGGCCCGGTTAGGCCCACCGAGCGGGCCTCCAGTCCACTCCCTGGGACAAGGAGGCTCCGTGCTCACTCTGGCAGCACATATACTGAAATAAGGAGGCTCCGAGGAGGGGCACGCCTGCGGGGTGAGCCACAGTCCTGGGACAGTGTGGTCTTCCCGGGAACAGAGCAGAGCACAGCCCCCAGCAGCACCCAGGCTGTACAGGGACGGTGCACGCAAGCACAGTCCCTGGTGAGTACCGAAGCAGCCCCAGCAGACGGAAGCTCACATGGAGAACGACGACAGCAACGGCATCTCCAGGGAGAGCAGAACCTGAGCTCCTCTCACTCCCTGGGCAGCCACTGCCTCTCCACCCCTCCCAGATGGCCCCGCCTCCTGACCTGCAGGCAGCCCCTCCTCTCTCACCAACACTGCCCAGCCTGCCTCTTTCTGACGGGCACTGGTCTAGGATGCACTAAACGACAACCATGCAAGGAGACAGTAATGGCTTTTTAATGACTTCGGACCCAATTATGGAATCAGTGCCAAGTCTGGTCTGCCAGCTGCAGTCCCGCCAGGAGACGCGGATGGGAGACAGGTCACTGATGGATGGGTCTCCCAGCTGACCCCGGCGGCTCCTCATTACAGTTGCCTTCTGCTGGGGACCGGACCAGGAAGGCCCAGGATGCTACCAGCCACTGGCTCCTAAGGATCAGTCACCCATCCACCCACTCTACCCAGGGCCACCAGCGTGGCAGCACCACCCCTCGGAAGCCAGTCTAAGCATCCGCTTGCTTTCTCCAAGGCACCTGACAGGTACCTGGGGGAGTGAATCATGATGGTCAAATGATGCTTCTCTCGGGGCTGGAAAGGCCAGGCACAGCCAGCATATCCAGAGAGGCCGTTCCCTCCCTCTCTCCTTCCACTCCACCTTAGCTCCGACTAATCCACCACAGCCACCCTGAGGCCCGGGGACTAGGAGGGGCAGACACAATCACTGGATGTTCTTCCTGCCCTGTTCTTTCTCCTCAGTCACACAGGAGGCTTCCCCTGTGCAACCCAGGGAATCAGAGGAGGGTGCTCTCAGGAGAGGCAAGGCCACCCAGGCTGTCTGACTGCAACCCTGTGCCCAAAGCCAGGCCCACAGCGAGTCCAGAGCTATAGCTTCCCTTACCCAGCACTGCTTACAACACAGGGTTGGGGTGGGGGAGGCAGCAAGAGCATGCTGCCCACAGGGGTTCCAGCCTCCCAGGATGGGACATCCCTGATCCAGTGGTCCCCCTAACCTAGCAGCTGTGTTGAAGCTGCCAGGGGCAGCAAGCCCTTACGTGGGTGATTCAGAACTGCTGGAAGCCTGGCCCAGAATCACACCTGCCTCTTTTTTCATCTAGGTTTCCATGGTGCAGGGGCCCAACTCAGGCCACCCTCTGCTGCTTTCCCAGGTGCATTAGCAGGGAGCTGGATCAGAAGTGAAGTAGCTGGGACTTGAACCAGCGCCCACATGGGATGCTGGTTCTGCAGCCAGTGGCTTTACCCGCCAAAGAGCCAGCCCCCTGGCTCTTTCTTTTTTAAACCAAGTGCCATCAATGGTTCTAATGCTCAGTCACAGAGACTAGACCATAGGCCACAAAGAGTAAGGAAGCTGGGGTGCTGCTAGAGGTGCAGGGGGCACCCAGGTACCTCTCCGGCTAGACCCAGCAACAGACTTGAATGGGAAGGGACCCTTGTTCCATTGGTGGTCAATGGTACCCAAAACATCAAGTGCAGAAGTGGTGGGAGGAGCCAAACAAGGGCCAAGAGGAGGGGGAACCCAGAGACATGCTTAGACTCAACCCACGGAAGAACTTTCTGATAATCACAGCCATCTAACAGAAGGTGCTGGCCTGGGCTGCTACCAGCAGTGCTCACACAGGGAACTGGATGGCCTATGAGGGTGTGGTCAGCCTGAAATCCTCTCTGTTCTCGATTAAGCCATGCCTCACTGTGAGAGAGGCCCCCACAGTGGACTAGGAACACCCAGATGAGGCCAGGAAAGCGGAGGAAGCCCTAAAGGCTACTCAGGGATACCACTCCGATTCAAACAAGTGGACGTCTGCCCATGCCAGGTCATGTTGAGAACACAGCCTGGAACCAGAACAGGACCCTGTTCTCAAGGAGTTCGTGACAGGTCAAGGGCATGCAGATGAGGGGACTGAGGAGGCCAGCGCCATGGTGTGGCGGGTTAAGCGGGCATCCCACACAGGAGCGCCCATTCAAGTCCTGGCCACTCTCCTTCTGATCTGGCTGCTTGCTGATGTTCCTGGGAGGCAGCAGATCATGGCCCAAAACTTGGGCCACTGGCTCCTGGCTTCAGCCTAGTCCCACCCAGGGCTGCTGCAGGAATTTGAGTAGTGAAGAAGCAGATGGGAAACCTCTCTTTGTCTCTGTTACTCTGCTTTTCAAGTATGTAAACATTAAAACAGAAAAGACCACCGAAGACAGGGCTGGCCAGCACGGTCCTCCCACCCTGCCTGTGAGTTGGGATCCTCTGACTCTCCCTGGTCCACATACACCTCCAACTACAGCTATAAGGTTGTAATACCATGCAGTAAGAGCACATGAGGCTCTTCAAGAATCTAGAAGAACTAGCAGAAATGGAAATTAATAGTAGTAATAGGAAAAAAATTAGCAAAAAAGACTTGAATTGTTAAGCTCTATAAACTAAATGGTTCTTTTTTAAGTCAGAATGTGATGTTAATCCCTGATTATTATAAATGGAACCAAAATTACCCATAAAAAGATTATCACCAACTATCACTTCTTTGAAGAAAATTATCCCAGGGGCCGGTGCTGTGGCATAGTGGGTTAAGTTGCCACCTGCAGTGCTGGCATCCCATATGGGCACTGGTTTAAGTCCCGACTGCTCCTCTTCTGACCCAGTTCTCTGCTATGGCCTGGGAAAGCAGTAGAAAATGACAACAGTCCTTGGGCCCCTGCACCTGCGTGGGAGACCCAGAAGGAGCTCCTGCCTCCTGGCACAGCTCCGGACATTGTGGTCAACTGATGAGTGAACCATCGGATGGAAGACCTCTCTCTCTCTCTGCTTCTACCTCTCTGTAACTCTGCCTCTCAAATAAATCTTTAAAAAAAAATTATCCAGGCCCAGGGAATGCAAGCTGCAACCATCACATATGGAGTGAAATTCCACCGGCATGGCTCCCAGTAAGTCAGCTGAGCCCTTAGCCCCCAAACCAAACACCATCCTCTCTGGTTCCAACATACTGCGACATTAGGGAAGCCTCATCCCAGTCAGAGCACGTGCACACGTGCTGCCACTGCCCCCCCCCCAACAACACCTGCTAGTAAAATGCATCTTCTGTCTTCTGCCCCAGTTTTCTCTGTGATCAGACAGGAATGTGGCTTTGCCTGCAATCAGCAGCCCAATTAACACAAGAGGCAGTTTGACTATCCTTGTCTCAGTCCATGCCCCTTATTTTAGAAGCCTACACCCCAAGTCCAGAGTCCAAGATCAGTGTGTTCCCAGAAAGGCACCAGTGTCAGGGCAGGGGGGATCCTGGCAACTGCTCTCTACAGCCCGCCCTCTGCCAGACACCTACCCTCCCAACCACAGCGAGGAAGACAGGGAGGCCGAAGGAATGAGGGGAGCAGGCAGGGCCAGTCCACAGGGGCCACACTGTTTCTCAGGTAGCTGGATTCCGTACTCCAGGCTGTGTGTGGGCAGGGTGAGTAGCTTGGGCCTGGGCTGTAGCAAATGCCAAATAATTCTCTGCCGGATCTGAGTGCCCCGAGCCCTTGAACGACAGAGTCATTACCCAGAAACAAACCCACCTTCCTGAAGCAAGAGGCTTATCCTCCCCAGTCTGAGGCCTGTTTTCTCTCAAGACCCATACACTCACTCCTCAAGTTGCCTTGGTCCTTGGTTCCCTGGGAGAGGCTTTCCTGAACCATAAGCTGGCCTGGCCAAGCCTCCAGTTTGCCATCATCTCCACAGCCATTAGTGTTACCCATTCCACAGTCTGAGCTACCACCTTGACACTGGGACCCTACACAGGCGCTTCCACGGCACCAGAGTCTACCAGTCCATGGGCACAGTCAAGTAACTCTGCTGGGCCACTAGGCAAGGCTGATGATCCTGCAGTCTTCCGGAAGACCCTCAGCCCACAAAGGCCAGGATGTTCCAGAAACTACCTGTGCCCCCACCCTGGGTGTCTGTCTTCTGAGTCGGCACAGCCCTGTTCCCTGTTGGGGATGTCGTTCTGATCCATGTGACTGCACTGGCCTACAGGAGGACCTATGGAGACCTGTGTGGGCACATGTGTGCACTGAGGGCAAGGAACACAAAACAACCTGGGAAGACTGGAAGCCTCATTAGGAGCCACAATGAGAGGGAACAACAACGCTCAAGAGAAATCCTGAATTCTCAGGTCAGGGACAGGTGCCTGTTCGCAGAAGGATCTGTCTTTAACAAGCCTCGGGTGGTTTCAGCTGGCTTCTATTTGGGATGCTGTTTGGACACTCCTGGAAAAGCTCTGTCAGTGACTGGGATCAGACAGCTCCCTAAGAGAGGGCTGCATTATAAGGTGGTTCCAAGGGCCTGGCCCTGCCACTCATGAGCATGTAACTTGGTGGGCCTTAGTAGTCCAGCACCCTTCTCAGTCTCTCAGAGAGGTCTAAAGGCAGCCTGTAGCCCATGGCAACCAAGGAGCCAATGAATGGCCCAGAATCTGGTGCTGCCATGGCAATGAGCTCCTTCCCCTGGTAATAGAATGGAGTAGAGGGGACGGGAACAGGCCTGCATTTGTGTGAGCACCCCCTCCAAGGGCGTGGGGGACCCCAGCCACACTTGGGACAGATCACAGCATCTGAGAACAGAGCTGGTGGGCTTCCCTGAGTGTGCCAGGGTTCTTTGGGGCTTTGTGAGGGCAGCTTTATGTACTGTGAGCTGGTGTGTATTCACTACTACTCTAACAAGTAGATCAGCAAGTCCCTTACACTAGAGAGCATTTGTGAGCGGGCAGATGTCAGGTCTCCTCCAGGAATAGGATTTTGTGTGCACACACAGGCAGTATGCCTACAGGAAACCAAGAATTCCTGTGTGGCAAAGGCTGGGAGGGCACCTGTGTCTCTGAACAGCTTTGGGCTCTTGGTTCAGACTTACTGTTTCCAAGGATTTAAGCTTCGAGGACATGAACTGACCAGCAAGGGCCGTCCTGATGCGCAGACGCCTGTGGGTGCATGCGTGCGAGTGCACAGGTTTGGGTGTGTGCGGCTTGCCAGGCCTAGGAGGGGGCTCGAGGCATGGCGTGCTCCCTCCCCAGGCAGCCCCGAGCTGCTTCCAGACCCAACAAGGCCCACATAGGCCCCTCTAGCAACCCTAGCAAAGCAGGTAGGGCATGTGGAGCAGGGTAAGTGGGTTTGGGAGCCCCGGAAGTTGGGGTAAGAAGACCAGTGCTTCCAACCTGCGTCCCCAACATTAAGACAGATGCGGAGGGCATAGGCGGCCCTCGCTGGCCCTATGTCCGGAGTCCGGCGCCCTGGACTCTGCCTCACGCCCGAAGTAACAGAAGGTGGCAGGCTGGACGCATGCCCACCCCCCATGAGGTAGGGGGAAGGTGGGGCCCACGCCCGCGTACCTGTAGGGAATCCAGTCGGAATGCGGCTTGGAAGTCATGTCTCCCGGGGGCGGGGCGACAGCAGCTGCGGCTCTGGAGGCCCGAGCCCCTGGGGGCCGGCGCGGGGGCCCTGCTCAGCTCCTGGGCCACCCCGGGCCGCATCCTCCTGGGCTGGGGCGTTGGGCCCCGCTGAGGCCCGTGCTGCACGCCAGGGCCCCGGCCACGGGCTCGGCGAACGGCTGCTTGCGCGGCTCGGCACGATGGACGTAGCGGCGGGAATGCGCGGGGCCGCCACCGGCGGGTGAGCAGACGGGCGCGCGCGTGGGGGCGGGAGAAGCCTGCCCGCACTGCCTGGCGTCCCCCTCTGCGCCGGGAGCAAGAGCTCTGAGCTGCCCGCGCTCCTCCCTCGCCCCGCCCCGGCCGGCCGAGACCCCGCCCCCAAGCTCTCCAGAGCCTCCTCCGCACCCCCACCCCTTCCCCAAAATCACTGGAGCTACACGCAGCACTTGCGAGGGAGCCGGCGCCCACCTTCGCCTAATTGCGGCGTGGCAGGAGCTGATGGTGGCTTGCCAGACCTCCACACCTCAGTTTCTTTTTCTGTGAAACGGGGACAATTCTAACACCTGCCGACCTACCTGGCTGCCCTCGCTCCGCTGAGGGCTGGGAACCACTGCACAGCCAGGCGGTGGCAGGGAGCCTAAGTCCACCCGAGTGTCTGTGGTTTCAGTAAAGGAAGCCTTGTGGCTGATTCCTGCCTGCGCAGATAGCAGTCCAGGGGCACCTCTGCTGCCTATGGCACACCCAGACTTTAAAGAATTTATGATATTGGGACCAGCGCTGTGGCACAGGTTAATCCTCCGCCTGTGGCTCCCGCATCCCAAAGAGGCTCCAGTTCTAGTCCCAGCTGCTCCTCTTCCGTTCCAGAAGAGAGATCGGCCTGAGCGGGCAATGGAAGATGGCCCAAGCGTTTGGGCCCCTGCACCTGTGTGGGAGACAGGAGGAGGCTCAAGGCTCCTGGCTTCGGATCAGCTCAGCTCTGGCCATTGCGGCCATTTGGGGGAGTGAACCAGCGGATGGAAGACCTTTCTCTCCCTCTCACTGTAATTCAACCTCTTACATAAATAAAATCTTTACAAAAAGAAAAAAGTTATGTATTTATCCCCCAGAATAGTACTGAGAGGTCAATATTCCTGTTTCCCAGAGAATAAAGTCTCTGAACACTCAGATGGCTACGGCCTTAAAGCTAGGAAGCAATGCAGCCGAAACTGGGCCAGTGCCTCTTTGTCCTCCAAGTCTCTTTGTAGAAGCTGCAGTTAATGGGAGGCAAAACCCTCTGCATGCCCAGCCGGTGGGCTGTGGGGAGGCCCACCTACAGCAGGTTGAGGGGAGGGTGGAGGGTGGAGACAGGAAGGGGAGGCCAGGCTGCCAGCTGTGCAGCAGGCAGAGGGGTCAGCCAGCGACCGATGAGGATGCAGCAGGGTGTCAGGGCGGGCCCTGCTCATCTGCTCCCTGGATTCAGCAGCGCAGACCAGGCCCCAAGTTGGGATCCTCTGGTGCTAAACAGGCTGTTAAGATGGGGAGTCTGGGCAGAGTGTGTGTGGGAACAGCCAGATGGGCTGAGAGGGCTGCAACCTGCTGCCCTGGGGGCCAGCCAGGACCCCATCCCAGAATCTTAGCTTTTCAGCCTCTTCTTTCCCCTCCACTATGAAGCACTCACTGAGGGCCAGGAGCTGTGTCAGGAGCTACCTGAATGTCATCACACCTTTAACCCACGTAACTACCCTAGGAGGTAGGTGCTCTTACCACGCCTGTTTTATAGCAGAGGAAACAGCAGCACGGAGAGGGCAAGGATCTTGCCCAGTCGCACAGTGGGTCAGCAGGAAAGCTGCCATTCCCATGCCAGCAGCTGGGTCTGCAACACTCAGGCTCAGTCTGCTTCCTGCCGACTAGAGGCATGGGCCCGTGTACGTGTACACATACACACACACACCCAGCCTCACTTTCCGGACTCGTGGAGCGCAGGACAGGTCACATCCATCTCTATCTGTGATCTCTGATTATTTATCAGCCTCCAAGACTATCACTGCCCCTGGGGTCAGAAACAGACAAAACCAATCCCCTGCAAGTAGTGGGCAGGGTATAGGCTGTCTCCTGCCTGCTGGGATGCTCAGCCTGGGCCTGTTTCTCCCATCAGCCTCCCAGGAAGGACAACAGAAAAGGGGCTGCCCCTGCCTGGGAGGCCATGACAGTGTATCAAATCACCTCCCCAGAGGCCTCGGCCCTGCAGGGCAGATTCCCACCTGGAAGTCAAAGACCAGGCATTCTGGCCTGGGAAGCCTGCCTTCCAGACCACCCCTCTCTATACTGCAATTAGTAGCTGCTGCTTCAGAGACAACCACAGCCTGGAAGACTTTCCCTTCAAGAATCTGAGGCTGTTTTCCTCCTTTATTCCCAAATTATCTGACACCTTATAGCAATCAGAATTAAGCTGGAAGGTCTCGGGAGCCTGCAGTAATTGAATCTATTAAACAGACACTTTAGACTCCGTCCTTAGGGAACAAAATCTGAAGGTACAGTGAGGTGCAGAAACAAAGAAGCTCTGCTCCCCTCTTCCTGCAGGGGCTGTGTATGTGCACATGGGCTGTGGGAAGCCAGGCGAGCTGTATGCCAGTGGACACGAGTGTGTGTGTGTGTGTGCATGTGATTATGTTGGGGAGCCAGGGAGGCTGTGTGCCTCTGTATACATGAGGGCGTGGACATGGACAAGTACATGAGTTCATGCACAGACAGGATGTGAAGGACCCAGTGGGGTTGTGTGTTATGTGTGTTTACGCATGTGTGCAATGGGATGGAAGGGAGCTGGTGGGACTGTATTATGCATGAATGTATGAGTGTGCGCACATGGGATACAGGACTGTGTGTACCTGTGGGAGGAGGCCCTGAGGTCTGAACAGGTCTGCCTAAGAACTGTGTTGATGTGGCTGCAAGGGGAGGAAGCATGTACTTCTGAGGGGTGCATGAGTGTTCACATCCAACTCAAAAACTTGCGATAGGTTTTCCCACTTGAGTGCTATCTTTGATATTTTAAATTTATGCCCTAGGCTCCCATCACAAAGGCACTCTTGAAAGTCCTATGAAGAGTATCACAGTAGGCCACAGTTAAAAGTTGCACATTCACAACTGTGCTACATAGTGACCCTTAAGGAAGGGCCTAAGCCTTCCCAAGTTAGCCCCAAGAGCAAGGCTCTCTCCAGCAAAGCACTGACAACATGGCAGTCCCAACGCACTTTCCTCACCTGCCCAAATCCTGCAAGGCTAAGATACCAGCTGTGAATTTAAATTCTCCTCAAAGTGTTTCAGGCATTTTTCAACAAGGTGATGATTTGTGAGGGGCAGTAAAGGAATGCATGTGGATGGAAACATACCCCCCAGACCCTCATATCTGTCACTGAAATATGAGGACCCCAGTATCAGCCCCCTTAGCAAGAGCAGTTTAGTGGGGAAAGGGGGTTTGCATTTTGGCACCTTGCCATTTCCATGCACAATCTCATGTTTTCTATACTTCATGTAGTAATTCTACTGAGTGTGGGCCACCTCTAGCCAATTTTGGCACCAAAGGGATACGAGTGATAAACGATTGTCTTTTCAGATTGGACCCAGCCTAGTGGATTAGCATTGTGACCCTGTAGTCTGAGGATGGTAATTCAAAACTAACAGTGACCTGACCCTACTGGGCCCCAAGGCAGGACCGCAGTGACTCCAGCAGGTGTCAGATCCAGGGCTGCTCTCAGGGAGCATTCAGTAATACAGTAATGACCATACCCGGCACTGAGGTGTGGGTGTTACGATACAGGTGCAAAAATGCTAGGGTCAGGGGATGCAGAGGAGGGACAGTCAGTGGTAATGGAATGAAGGAGGTCAGGCTGGGACAAGCCCTTCCTGACCAATAGAAAAGGAGGACAGTGGGGGCTTGGCCTTGAAGAATAAGCAGGATCTTGGTAGACTGATAGAAAAAGAAGGGGGGACCTTAGTAGCTACTGACACTCTGTGATTCGCCAGCCACTGAGCTCACTGCAGAAAGGATGACAGGAGCAAAGTCATGGAGACATGACAGCATGCGGCCAATGCATCTAAAAACCAAGGCAAACCAGCCTGGTGGTAAGCACTGAGCAGTTCAGTGTGCCAGGAAATGAGCCCAGAAAGTTTAAGTATGGACATAACAAGGGCACTTCGCAAAACAGAAATGCATGTTATGAAAAAAAATGCAGATTTTGAAAATTTTTGTACCAAAAGTAAACTGTCATCCTGAACACCAGTAATACAGCAAATGGGGAATGACCAAAGGGCTCAGAGCCTAGAATAACCTGCCCAGATGTAACCATTAAAAGATATAATTGGTAGCAAAATGCAGACTGGAGAAAGACAAGGCCATCAGTAGTCAGAGCTGCTGGGTCACTGAGGAAGTCCAGGACAGAGGAGCAGGTCATGCCCTGCCAAAGCTGTCAGACAAACACCACAGCAAGATGGTAACCGAAGCGTGAGGTGCTGAATGGCACCTTCTGTAGCTCCCTTTCAAACAGCTGTAGAATACACAGGCCACTGTGCCATCATCCACAATTAAAGTGGGATGAATATGTTTATACACATCTTAGAAGAAATACTTGGTAACCACTAGCAGAATTACAAATAATATGTCCATTTTTTAAATCACTGCTAAATAGCAAATAATCTACACACACACACACACAAGCATGGTCCACAGGAAACACAAAACTCCTAAGACATACAACAAAGTCACAAGAATAAATCCGGCTATAATGATCACAAAGTGAATGCACGTATCATCTGTGGGGGGCATACTCAGACCTGAGCAAGCCGGTGACGGGATGGAAATCATCCTGTCTAGGTTCCCAGCTGAGGCTCCCAGTGAGGAGACTTCACATACGGGACACTCAAAGTGCAGTGGAAGCCACTTCTTGGCAAAGCCCGGTGAGGCCCGAGGCTGTGCCCGGAGCCAGCACACAGTCGGAGTGCACAGGAATCATGAGAGGCTGAGGAGGGTTACTGGAAGTTTTAGAGAAGGCTCTCAGAGTCCACTTGGCTCAAATAAGTGGGCAGGGGGGCAAGGGTGCTACTGCCCACACCTCCAGTCTTTAGAGTGGAACCTACAGAGGCCTCCTGGAGAACTTAATACAGGGCCCGAATGGCCAGTGGATGGGTGGGGTGGCAGATGGCATCCCAACGGCAGGGAGGGTGCCAAGGATGCACCTGCACTTCCCGTGGACTCCAGTGGGTCTGCGCATGAGCCAGATGTGACCACTAAGAGAGGGCAACAGAGAAGGTCAGGTTCCCTGGGGCCTGAGAACGGAACCACAGGATGAGCT